ATTTTTAAGGAATTTAATTTTTTTTTTTTTAATATTGCCAAATTCGTTCCATGTAGTAGAGGGCATTCAAAGATCAGCCTTTCCGAACTTACAGCTATTGTACTTGTTCTTGCTAAAAAGTTTCACTGTTGCCTTTCAAACATATATAAAAAAAATTCAACAAAAGTCACAATTTTCCCCTTTATCGGAATTTTTTTTTAGCTTTGCCATAATCAATTGCAATTGCTGCAAACTGGAGTTGTTGTTTTATTTTCCTTCATTTCTGTTGTTTTATTTTCCTTTTCCATGTTTTATTTTTTATTTCTCTTCAATGTTCAAATATTTTTCTTGCCCTTTTTTCGGTTGTATGGTGTTTCATTGTTGCTTTTGATTTGTTGCCGGTTGTCATATAAATTATTGTTGACATCCATCCAAACAGTCATTCATATGTTGGCAACACAATTTTGACGCACACACATCCACACACCCACACGATATCACCGACCCGACCACAATGCAACACATTTGTTGGGTTCCCACGATGAAATGCCATGGAACACAACATTTCCAATTTTGCAAATTCTCAATGAATCTTACAACAAAAAATGCTACTACTGCTGGATATGGATGATACTGCTTGCCATTACAGCTCCTTCATGCCATGGAGTTGCAGTATTTTTTGCTGTTCTTGTTGTTAGTTTTGTCTTGATGTTGCATGTTAAAAAAATTAATCATTATTGATTTATTGTTGAGAACACAAAGACAAATATGAAATAATGGAAATCAAGCAAAAGCTGCGAGCATGATTTGTTGTGATAAGATAACATGTCTGGATTGGTTTTGAAAATTGCAGGAGACAAGAATGAGTCAAGAACAGTAGACATGATCAGGGAATTGTATTAATATGTTCAGTTGAATGTAAATTGCAGTACATAGTGGCGTATGCGCAACATTTTAATATTTTTTTATTTCTCATACGCAACGCAGCACCACAAAATTCATAGATTAGGGATCAATTAAGTTTAGTATTATATATTTTTGATTACCTCAGTTTTTTTAAAAATGTTAAAAAAAATCGATAATTTTAATTAGCGACAAAAAAATTAACTCTCCAATTTTTATGATTTTTTTTTTTTTTCAGAGTTATCCGGCTACCCGCATATTTGATCCTAAAATCCGGGTCCAAGATCAAGCTTAGACCCGGACTTATAATACCGATATGGACAATATAGGAAAATAAACGGGTACCCGGATATTTGACCTTAAAATCCGGGTTTAAGACCCGGGTTAAACCCGTAAGTCCGGGTTTAACACAATGTAGGTATCATTTGAAAGCTAATAAAAATACCTATGTGTAAAATATCCGGATATCCAGATATTTGACCCTAAAGTCCGGGTCCAAGAACCGGCTTAAACCCGTAAGTACGGGTCTACCACAATATGGGTATCATTAAAAATATAGATAATAATAAATGCATTAAGTGCTCAAATGATTATTTATTATTTATCGCTTCCGTGGTTGATTCAAAATTATTGGTTTTTTTAAACCGGTTTTTTTAGGAAATCCTCCAAAAGTCGGAAAGGGCCCAATTTTTGGGGTCCACAAAGTTTATACACTATATACCATAACTTTTCCAAAATGCTACAATATATTTTATTATCTTTCTTCGATCTAGATATATGAGTATTTGAACCCCAAAGAGCCGATTTACTCCTCCGAGAGCTTTTACTAAACTAGAGTTGTTCCTCGGACTATTTTGGAACTCTCAGAAGCATCGTTGTAGTAAAGCAGTTTTGCATATCGCCCAAGCGAAATAGCTAAAGCTAGACTCTTGAAATTTTTATAAAACTGGGTTTTCGAAAATTCGTACTAAAATGTACTAAAAATTTAATACTTTGTATTAGACAAAAGCAATGAGTTAGAATTCTGAAATTTGGAATGAAAGTCACTGATGGAGTGCAGATTAGATGAAACAAAGAATTTTTTTCAAATTCAAACACAGAGGTAACGAAAAGTTGTAAAATGCTCCTAAACTTCTAAAATTGTACCACTTGGAATTATGTGAACGAATAGAGCAAAACATTCAAATTTGTTATAAAATTCAAAGTTAGAAAGTGAAGTTAGTAAGGTGGTTTTGGATTGTACAAATTGTACTAAATTGTACTAAAATTTAGAGAAATTTGGTTCAGGATGAACGGATGAGGTAAGAATTTTGAAATTTGGTGGAAGGTTTGTGATATAGACGTAGATTTGGAAATGTGTACTATAATTGTATCAAAAATACTAAATGGTACTTAATTTGGTATTTTGTGAAGGGATGGGGCTGGAATACTTAAATTTGATACTGAGGTCTTAGTTAGTGTTTGGAATTTATTTATGGAGGTGGTTTTGGAAATGTGAACTCTGACTGTACGAGTTGTATTGGGTGTACAGATAGTGCTTGAAATCGAAAATTTGTACTATAATTGTACGAAGAATACTAAATAGTACTCAAAACATACGAAATGGTACTTAAATGTGGTATTGGGTGAAGGGATAGGGCTGGAATTTTTTTATATTTTAATTTTATATTTTAGGGTCCCTGTTGTATCTGGAATTAAGATATGAAGGTGGCTTTGGAAATGTATACTATAATTGTACAAACAGTACCAAATCGTACAATATCTTGTACAATTTGGTATTGCATAAACATATAGTTCCTTAAATCTTCAATTTGGTATTGAGGTCGCTGTTTATGTGTAACCTGGACATATGGAGGTGGTTTCGAAAATTTGTACTATAATTGTACGAAAAGTACTAAATGGTACAAAATTTGGTATTGGCTGAAAAGATAGATTACTGATAATATCTGTTTTTTTTTTTTAAAATTTGGCGGTGGTTTGAAAATCCACCCTATATTTGACGAAAAGTACTAAAATATGGTATTGCGTGAAAGGATGGGGCTGGAATCCTCAAATTCGATTTTTCGGTCCCTCTTGATTTTTGGAGTTGAGATATGGAGGTGAATTGGAGAAGTGTTTATTATAATTGTACGAACAATACTGAATGGTACTATATTTAGTATTGGGTGAGGGGATAGAGATAAAATTCTGAAATTTAATGTTTAGAAAACAGATGGCATATGTGTTTCTGATTAAGCGGTGGTTTGGAAGTGCTTCCTTTATTTGAACGAAAAGTACTAAATGGTATGAAATTTGGTATTGGGTGAAGGGTATGGGTTGGAATTCTCAAATTTGATATTGAGGTCTCTGTCGGTGTGTGGAAATGGGATATGGAGGCGGATTCGCATATGCGTCTTATATTAGTACGAAAAGTACTAAATAGTACTTAATTTAGTTAAAGTGAAAAAATTTGACATTTTTGTCACTGTTTGGCGTCTGTGGTTGAGAGAGAGAGAGAGAGATGATTTTGGATACGCGTACTATAATTGTACTAATTTTAGTATTGAATGAAAGGATATAGCTGAAATACCTGAAATTTGAAAGAAGGAGCTGATTTTCCGTACTATAAACGTACGAAAAGTACAAAATGCCATAAAAAGTTCCATTGGGTCCTGGAATAGATATGGAATTTTTAGGATAGAGCCACAATTCTGAAATTTGATATGGAGGCCACTGTATGTATAAATGATGGAATCGGAATTAGGGATACGCACTCTGATTGTTCGAAAAGTACTAAATGGTACTTAATTTCCCATTGGGTAAATGGATAGAGCCTGAAATTCGATATTGGGGTCATTGTTGGTTTCTAAAATTTAGATATGGTGAGTGGTCCAATTTTATATTTTTGGCCAGAAAAATTGAACGTCGAACCATTGTGTAAGGGTTTTCCTAATATTTATAATATCTTTTTGAAGTCTTTTTGATGCAAAAAGTAGTTAATTTGCGATTGTCCTTTTCGATATATCGAACTGGTGCAACTGAAAATTGGTACGATATAATTTTTGTTTGGAAATTGCGAATTTTGAATACTTAAATGAGCTAGTGGCAAAAATCTAAAATTTTAAACTAAACTTTCCGCTGAAGAAAAGAAAATAATATAATATCCGAAGAACTAGAATTTTCAACAGTTGCCTGTTTGGTTTCATTTTCAAAATCCTGAATACACGTAAGGAAAAAACGTTTACGAAGAGATGGGTGTAGAAAAACTAATACATTTTTCAACAACTCTCTCTTATGGCTAATATTTGCGTTTGTCTGCCAAATTGAATTATAATCTAAAAGTAGTATTTTATTAGTTTGGCTTTTAATTTTCGAAATTTATTTTGAATTATAATAGTAAAATAATGAAAAATCAACCAATATTTTTCAATATCTTTCATGTTTGGGATTTTTCATTGAAATTTTTCAGTGAATTCTTTGGAATTTGCAATTTTTCATAGTTTATTTTGCATTTATTTTTATATCAAGAAAAAAATGATTGAAAATGTTGAAAAAAAAATTAAAATAAAAACGCCATTTTAAATGTTATAATTCATAAAATATTAATTTAAATTCTATTTTCTTTTTTTATAAATTTTTTGTTTAGTAGAAAAAAAATTAATTTTGGTTGTTTTTTTGTCTATTGCTAATTTCTTTCCAACTCATTCGGGCTTCCCTTAATATTTCCCTTTTAAAAAAATACCAATTCTTTAAAAAATGTTTTTTTTTTCCAAAAACAAAATGCCTTAAAAAATTTCCCACAAAAAAAAAAAAAAAAAACTGATTAACAACGATTTTGTGTTTATTTTTGGAGTGGCATTTTTGAATGCCATCCTCCTATCAAATACCTCGTCCTGTGTTATTGTTCTTGGTTTGCTGTATTGTTGTAGTTCATTCGTTTGTTCGTTCATTTTAATTTGTTGTTTTTGTTGTTGTTGTTCATACACAAAAGAAAATGTTTATAATTTTTGGTTTTGCTTTTTTTTGTTTTTGTTTTTGCTTTTGCTTATGTTATCATACAAAAGAGAGAAAAACAAAGAAAGACATCTACATTCTGTTTTGTTTTTTTTTTTTTTTCAATTTTCCATTTTCATTTTAGGTTTTTCTTTTTCTTCATCTCTATTCTCACTCTTCTGTTTGGTTTCGCTTTGCTCTGGCGCCTGCCCCCATTCCCCTAATGACTAAGTTGCGGTTATTCTTCTCCTTTTTACACTTAAACACAACTCTCCTGCTGCGAGTACATCAACGGTGTCCGCACCGTTACAATTTCCCGGGAATAGGATTTTCCCACAGCCGAGAGACCCGATATCGAACTGCTGGGACTTGTGACGGCCGCTGTTGCCAAACCGCTGCTGTTACTCGACACCAATACCTGACCCAGTGGTGGTGAGGGCAGCTGTTGTAAATGCATTTGTTGTTGCTGCTGTTGTTGTTGCTGGTGTTGTTGATATGAGGGTGGCATGGGCAGGGTGCCATGATGATATGGCCCACCTGTACTACTGCTGGCGCCCGCTGCCGCCGCCGACGAATTTTGAGCATTACCCATCATCTGCATCATGGATGCGGTCGTGGAACTGTGTGGAGGCACATTCTGTTGATGATGATTATGAGGCAGAGTATGATAACCCCCGGGATGGGGTGGTAGCGTATACATTTGTACAGTGCCCGGCGACACGGTGGAAGGAGTGCCCTGCGAATTCGGCGACGATATACAGGGCGGGAAGGGTGACACCGAACTGGAGTTACTAGCACTGGCATTGGCATTCTTGTAGTGATCTATCTGGGCGTATATCGTTGGCTCCTCGAAGTAGTCATACGAGGGCGGCGGTGCCATTGTTTTGTTGCGCTGCAGGGTGCTGGTGGCCGGTATTGTGGGCAATAGTTTGCGTACACTGCTGCCATGGGGCAGGGTGCCACCGGTGATGCCACCGAGATTGGGATTAATACCGGCACCCTGTAGCAGCATACTGCTGCTGCAATCGACCGAAATTGATTTTTTCGGTGCCGAACTGGAGGCGCCACCCGATGGCAACGAGAGTTCGGCATAGTGTAGTTCCTCATCCTGGTTAAGTGGCCATGGAAAAGAAGGAAAAGAAGCAGAGAGGAAGTTAGTGATTAAAAGTAAACATAAATTACGTAATTCATTAGTAATTAAAATGTGATTTCATCGCAGGGATGTTGCGAGGTAGGTACGTGTGTGTGAATGTGTGCGGTGAGGTACACCTTGCAATGACAACGTTATCATCCAGGCAACAAGGAATTTGTGTCAAATTTTGCAAAGTTCTTTTAAAAGGGGAGGTTGAGTGGTATGGAGTGGAAAGGAGGGATTTGGGAAAATGCTCTGTACAGTGGTAGTATTGGATTTTTCAGGGTTATCCCTGGATTTTTTAACAAATAATTTTCAAGGACCAAAAGAGCAGGAAACCTATTTTTTTAAAACAGGACTTTCAAGGACAAAAAGACCAAGAAATGTGGATTTTTTCAAGATTTTTTTCCATGGACCGAAGGACCAAGAAACGTGGATTTTTTAAAGAATTTTTTCCAATGACCGAAGGACCAAGAAACGTGGATTTTTTAAAGAATTTTTTCCATGGACCGAAGGACCAAGAAATGACCAAAGGACAAAGAAGTGCGGATTTTTTAAAGAATTTTTTCCATGTACCAAAGGACCAATAAACGTGGATTTTTTAAAAAATTTTTTCCATGGACCAAAGGACCAAGAAACGTGGATTTTTAAAGAGTTTTTTTCCAAGGACCAAAAGACAAAGAAACGTGGATTTTTTAAAAAATTTTTTCCAAGGACCAAAAGACCAAGAAACTTGGATTTTTTAAAGATTTTTTTTTGCAGTAACCAAAAGACCATAAACGTGGATTTTTTAAAGAATTTTTTTCCAAGGACCAAAAGACTAAGAACCGTGGTTTTTTTAAGAATTTTTTTTCCAAGGACCAAAAGGCTAAGAAACGTGGATTTTTTAAAGAATTTTTTCCATAGACCAAAGGACCAAGAAGCGCGGATTTTTTAAAGAATTTTTTCCACGGACCAATGGACCAAGAAACTTGGATTTTTAAAGAATTTTTTCCAAGGACCAAAAGACCAAGAAACGTGGATTTTTTAAAGAATATTTTTCAAGGACCAAAAAACCAAGAAATGTGGATTTTTTAAAGATTTGTTTTTACGAACCCAAAGACCAAGAAACGCAGATTTTTTAAAGAATTTTTTCGATGACCAAAGGACCAAAAAATTTGGATTTTTTAAAGAAGTTTTCTAATTGACCAAAGGACCAAGAAACGTGGCTTTATTAAAGAATTTTTCCCATTGACCAAAGGGCCAAGGAACGTAGATTTTTTAAAGAATTTTTTTGAAGACCGAAAGGACAAGAAACTTGGATTTTTTTAAGAATTTTTTTCCAATGACCAAAGGATCAGGAAACGTGAATTTTTTAAAGAATTTTTCCCATTGACCAAAGGGCCAAGGAACGTAGATTTTTTAAAGAATTTTTTGGAAGACCGAAAGGACAAGAAACTTGGATTTTTTTAAGATTTTTTTTCCAATGACCAAAGGATCAGGAAACGTGAATTTTTTAAAGAATTTTTTTCCAAGGACCAAAAGACAAAGAAACGTGTTTTTTTTAAAGAATTTTCTTCAAGGACCAAAAGGCCAAGAAACGTGGATTTTTACACAATTTTTTTCAAGGACCAAACGACCAAAAATCTTGGAGTTTTTACAGAATTTTTTTCAAGGATCTAATGACCTAGAACTTGGATTTTTACACAATTTTTTTCAAGACCCAAAAGACCAAGAAACGTGGATTTTTTAAAGAATATTTTTCAAGGACCAAAATACCAAGAAACGTGGATTTTTTATAGAATATTTTTCAAGGACCAAAAGACCAAGAAACGTGGATTTTTTAAAGAATATTTTTCAAGGACCAAAAAACCGAGAAACGTGGATTTTTTAAAGAATATTTTTCAAGGACCAAAATACCAAGAAACGTGGATTTTTTAAAGAATATTCTTCAAGGAATAAAATAACAAGAAACGTGGATTTTTTAAAGAATATTTTTCAAGGACCAAAAAACCGAGAAACGTGAATTTTTTAAAGAATTTTTTTTCAAGACCCAAAAGACCAAGAAACGTGGATTTTTACACAATTTTTTTCAAGAACCAAAAGACCAAGAAACGTGGATTTTTACACAATTTTTTTCAAGAACCAAAAGACCAAGAAACGTGGATTTTTACACAATTTTTTTCGGAGACCAAAAGACCAAGAAACGTGGATTTTTAAAAATATTTTTTAAGGATCAAAACACCAAGTAACTTGGATTTTTTAAGAATTTTTTCTATGGACAAAAAGACCAAGAAACCTGCATTTTTGAAAGAATTTTTTTCAAGGACCAAAAGACCAAGAAATGTGGATTTTTAAAGAAATTTTTTGCAAAGACCAAAAGACCAAGAAACGTGGATTTTTTAAAGAAATTTTTTGCAAAGACCAAGAGACCAAGAAACGTGGATTTTTTAAAGAATATTTTTCAAGGACCAAAAGACCAAGAAACGTGGATTTTTTAAAGAATATTTTTCAAGGACCAAAAGACCAAGAAACGTGGATTTTTTAAAGAATTTTTTTTTCCAAGGACCAAGAGACCAAGAAACGTGGATTTTTTAAAGAATTTTTTTCAAGGACCAAAAGACCAAGAAACGTGGATTTTTTAAAGAATTTTTTTTTCCAAGGACCAAGAGACCAAGAAACGTGGATTTTTTAAATAATTTTTTTCAAGGACCAAAAGACCAAAAAACGTTGATATATTTCTTCTTTCAAAAGACCTCCCATTCCTCCTCGTGAACCCACTGTTCTAAGTTTTCTGCACAAAAGTGTCCTTGATAATTAAGATGGCGTCAAAGCTTGTCAATGCTTCACTAAAAACATCAAAATGACACAATATATTGATGTTAGCACTGCCAACAACAACTACAACACCACCATCATAATCATCATTTCATATTCCTGACACTCCCTACCTCTTCTCTACCTGCTGGTTACCCATTATACATAAGTTAGCATCTTAAGGGAGGCCAAAGTTAAGACGACAGCCAGGCAGGCTGGCTGGTAGCCACATTAAGCAAAACAAACTTTAAGCAATTAATGCAAAATAATTCCTCAAAGTTATTAAACATTCAATTTCATTGTAAAACAAAGTAATCAAAACTTTTGACAGTATTGTGTCTTTCAAGGAGCAAAGGAAACGAGAGCACACTCACACATACACACACACCCACAGCTATTCAAACTATTGCACATATACACCTAAAGAAGTAAAGTCGGAGGAAGATGTATTGGTGACTCGGCAAGGTTTTCCAATAATAAATTTCAACATCATTGTCAACTTCGTCAGCATCGGAAGGCTGCCATGTCATTCTTTTTGTCATCAAATGTCTTTGGTGGAAGGCTGGGCTTCTCATCAACCACTAGAACAAAAAAACTTCTACTTAGCCTTAATATTCATTCATTTTTGAGCCTGTTAACTGGCGTATTAAGAAAAAAGCCAATGCTGATGCTCCAACCCCGAAGATCACCATGAAAACTTGTCCGAAAATTTGTCAGTCAACCAGGCGACAGATGTATTCTAAATTTAGACGATGCAAGAGGTTTTGTAACTAAATATGACGGAAACTTCAAATGGGGTTATATGTATGGGCAGGTATGTGTGTGTGCGGTAACTATACCACAACGAAGTACAGGAAAACCTACGACAAGAAATTTAAAAAGTAAATCTTTATTAAGATGCTTAAAAGTCGAAAAGTAATAAGTTTTGGCAAAGAAAAACTTCTCCTCTCCTTGGCTTCATCTTAGGTTACAGGAAAGAGTTATATTGCATAATGAAAATGTATGGGTTTGGGGTAGTTGGTAAAGGGCCATCAAAAGAGTTTTAGAGATTATTAAATAATAGGAGAAAATACATAAAAAATTTAAGACGCCTACCTAGCTGACGTAATTTAGTACAAGGACGAAGTCATATGCTTAAGCCAAGGAAAACAGAACAAGAGAACCGATTTTCTAGCGATATGATGTTTTATAAAAAATATTTTCAAGGACAATTGGAAGTATGGGGGATTAGAGAAAAACTTTTGCTAAGGTCGATAATGGCTTTTAATTAGGATTTTTAAAATATATTTTGTCAACGATTCTTAAGGTTACGGTTACGACCAATCATTATGAAAAGCGTAGTTTTCATAATATATATATATATATATATATATATATATATATATATATATATATATATATATATATATATATATATATATATATATATATATATATATATATATATATATATATATATATATGTATATATATATATATATATATATATATATATATATATATATATATATATATATATATAAATATATATATATATATATATATTTTTTTTTTTTTTTGGTTTTTGAGGAAAATCAAGCCTACATTCTTGGATTTTTTTTTTGTTAAATATCAGGGCCCCAATAGCGGACTTAAAAAATATTTTTCAAGCACCTTTAGGCTAAAATTTTATTTTACAAAGACGATTTTTTTTTTAAATATTTTATTTTTATATACAGGCTGAGACTATATACTATATTTTGTAAAAAAATATTTACAAGCACTACTAGAACTTCTATGGGGGAGTAGAGAAACATTTTCTTCAAGGACGATTATGGCTTTTAACTTGGATTTATAAAAAAATATTTTTTTTCAACGCATTTTAAGGTTACTGTTACGACCAACCTGTATTAAAAAGCGTACATTTTATAACATATTTCTTTTTCGAGAAAAATCAAGACTTCCAGGATTTTTTTTAAATATCGAGGCAACAATAGGGGAATAAAAAATTTGTTCAAGGACCTTAAGCTAAAATCTAATTTATCATAAGACGATTTTTTTTAATATTTTATATATACAGGCTGAGATTATATACTTCTTTTTATAAAAAAAATATTTGCAAGCACTACTGGAACTTCTATGGGGGACTAGAGAAACATTTTCTTTAAGGACGATTATGGCTTTTAACTTGGATTTATAAAAAAATATTTTTTTCAGCGCATCTTAAGGTTACTGTTACGGCCATCCTGTATTAAAAAGCGTACATTTTATAACATATTTCTTTTTCGAGAAAAATCAAGACTTCATGGATTTTCTTTTTAAAATATCGGGGCTGCAATAGTGGACTTAAAAAATTTTTTTTAGGACCTTGAGCTAAAATCTAGTTTATCATAAGACGATTTTTTTAATATTTTATTAATACATACAGGCTGAGATTATATATTATATTTTATAAAAAAAAAAATATTTACCAGCACAACTGGGACCTCTATGGGGGACTAGAGAAAAATTTTCTTCAATGACGATTATGGCTTTTAACTTGGATTTATAAAAAAATATTTTTTTTTCAAAGCATCTTAAGGTTACTGTTACGACCAACCTGTATTAAAAAGCGTACATTTTATAACATATTTCTTTTTCGAGAAAAATCAAGACTTCCTGGATTTTTTTTTAAATATCGGGGCTACAATAGTGGACTTAAAAATTTTTTTCAAGGACCTTAAGCTAAAATCTAATTTATCATAAGACGATTTTTTTTAATTTTACAGGCTGAGATAAAAAAATTCAACAAAGTCAAACGCCATAATTTTTATACTTTTTTAATTTATTTGAATGTCGGAAATAGCATCAAATTTTAGAATAAGTTTAGATTTGTTCGAATTGGTCACCTTTGACACGACTGATGTCCTTCAAACTGCCAATGAAACCGTCACACGCTGCCTGAATGTTGCTCTGCGGTATTATGGCCCATTTCCGGAGAAGCGCTTGCTTGAGGTGATCGCAACTTTGGTATTTTTAGTGTCAACCTTACTTTCCAAAATACTCCAGACACAATAGTCCAACGGATTGGTATCTGGAGATTTTGGTGGTAATTACTCGCTGGAAATGAAGCGAGGAACCTCATTTTGCAACCATTCATGGGTGGCGCATTCTGAGTACGATGGTGCTGAGTCCTGTTGGAATGACCAAGGTCTCCAGACACAATAGTCCAAGGATTGGTATCTATTCTTGGGTGGCGCGTGCTGAGTCCTGTTGGAATGTCCAAGGTCTTCAGACACAATAGTCCAAAGAATTAGTATCCGAAAATTTTGGTGGCCATTGTGCTCTGAAAATGAAGGGTGGGACCTCATTTTGTAACCATTCTTGGGTGGCGCGTGCTGAGTCCTGGCGCGAGAATGTCCAAGGTCTGCGGCCAAAATGTTTACGTGCCCAAGGCTTTAAGACACCCTCCAGAATATTTTCGCGATAATATTCGGCATTTATTCTGATGCAACGTTCGATTAATATGAGCGGAGAGCGACCATCGGCTGTTATGGCGGCCCACACCATCAACATGGCCGGCGCTTGAGTTCTGGTGGCCAACCGAAGGTGTACATTTTCAGCTGACCAAAAGACCAAGAAACGTGGATTTTTTAAAGAATTTTTTCCAAGGACAAAAAGACCAAGAAACTTGGATTTTTAAAGAATTTTTTGCATGCACCAAAGGAACATGGCCGGCGCTTGAGTTCTGGTGGCCAACCGAAGGTGTACATTTTCAGCTGACCTCTTTGGTAAGTAAAAGCGATCATTTTGTTTGTTTACAAACTGCTGGACAACGAATGTTTTCTCATAGGAGAAAACCAAATTCGGTAGTTCACCACTTTTGGCCAAGCGGAGCAACTCTTTAGATCTTGTGAGTCTATTTTCTTTCTGTTGCGGTGTAAGTTCTTGCACTTTTTGGAATTTGGAATTTCAATGGCTTTATCCCGAGCTCATTTTTTAATATTTGCCGAATGGAATATTGCGATATGTTCAGCTCACGAACCATTTTTTGGGCACCGCGACGCGGGTTTCGATCAAGTCGCTTCTTTACTTTTCAAACCCTTTCTGCTGATGTTGCTGTATCGTTTTCTTCCGTCCGCTTCCTGGACGTCCGGCTACGCCATCAGTATCACGGTAACGATCGATGGTACGAAACACAAAAGATTTATTCACATTTAAATGCTGTAGTGCTCTAACGATAGCCACTTGTGGTTTTCCAGCCAAATATAAAGAAATCACACTATGACGCTTGAATTCCATCACGAATAACTTTTTTTCTGGAAAATTCTCACCAAAATGCTTTTGCACGCATGTAAACAATATAATGAGCTGTCAGTGAAATAATTTTTACAGCTGTCGAACGAGTGGCTTAGAAATGACAGTAGTCTGAGATTGGTTGCAGTTTTTTCATCTCACCCGTAAAGGCATTTCTAGTCAAAAGAACTTTAATCTCAAATAAAAATTCAAATCAATTGTACCTAAAATCTTGGCTTTTTTAAGAAAATATTTTAGCTTCCAACATGGAATTTCCAAAAATAAATTTTTAAGGTCCAGGTAACTTCAGTTTCTCTATATTCAATTGGATTTTATACCCATCGAACACACATTCGATAATTTAACCACAAATATCCTTTAATTTAACATGCCATCCGTTCCACCACACATGTACCCTATCTCTCACACACACACACACTCATACTTCACCTCAAGACTGCAACACATTTTTGGGCTATGACTCTCTTCGGCTGCCAACATCTCGCCTTGTGAATACTTACATTATTGCTCTGATAGAGGACACGTTCATCATTTGTGGCCTTACAGCTGATTTCCGCTTCACTGGTTGTCGATAAATGACCGGATGGTGTTTGTGTTGCTGATTTCTGTTTATATTCACCATCGACTGCAATTTTTTTTTTTTGGTGGGGGGGGGGGCAACACGTTCGTTGGAAGGTCCATGTGGTTGTTGTTGTTTTTGTTATTTCCCAAATTGTTGATTTCATTGATGTGAAGGTTTGTTGTTGTCGTAGATGTCGATGAAGAGGAAATCATTAGAAACACGGAAATTAGTTTGACAAGACAGGGCAAAAACACAAAGACGTAGACGAAAACGTCGATGAAACATGAAAAAGAGAAACAAGAAACATTATTTAGTAAATAGAAAGGAAATTTTTCGTAATAATAATTTTAAGGGGAATAATCAATAAATAAAGGATTGCTTTTATTTAAGATAAGGTAAAAAAATAACATGTAAGGTAAAATTTGAAATATTCAAAAGACTTAAAAAATGGATTGGACTTGGATTTTTAAAACATATTTTTAGGACTCTCAGCCCAAAAATCGTGGTTATTAAAAAATATTTTTTAAGAACGACCAGACCAAAAATCCTTAATATTGAAATTTGTTCAGGACCACCAGATCAGAAATTGAAATTTTTAAAAACACATTTCAGGACCATCAAGGCAGAAATATTTAAAAATATTGGTTTTAAAGACCTACAGACATCGAATGTGAATTTTTAAGCATATTCTTTTCAACAAAGACTTTTTGAAGAAAACGGACCAATTTAGGGTTTTTCAAATAATATTTTTTCAAGGACCCCCAGAAGCTAAAACATGAATTTTCAAAGAAAATATTTTTAGGGACCAGTGGATAATAAAATGTTGATTTTGATAATAAGTGTTCTCACAAAAATTAGGAGACCATTGAAAGTAGTTTTAAAAAAAAATTTCCAAGGACCAAAAATCCATTAAACATGGATTTTTAAAGAATTTTTTACTTAAGGACCAGTTGGACAATGAGCGTGAACGTTTTTAAAGGATATTTTTTAGGTATCAAAAGCCCATCAAAGTTTGTTTATAAAAAATATTTTTTAAACATCAACAGAAAAATAAGTGTGGACTTTCAAAGGATTTTTTTCAAGGACCAAAAGACGAATTATCGAGGTCTTTTTAAGGATTTGTTTTCAAAAATCAACAGGCCAATAAACGTGGCTTATTAAAGGATTTTAAGGCAGAAATATTTTAAAATATTGGTTTTAAAGACCTATAGATATCCAACGTGGATTTTTAAGGATATTCCTTTCAACATAGATTTTTTGAAGACATTTCTTTAAAAGACCAACAGATCCACAGGCGTTGATTTTAAAGATTTTTGCCAAGGACAAACGGACAAATTTATATATTTTTTTTTTTAATAATTTTTTTGTAAGAACCCCCATCCTGAAACATGAATTGTTAAAGAATAGATTTTTAGGGACCAGTGGACAATAAAATGTTGATATTGATAATAAGTGTTCTCACAAAAATTAGGAGACCATTAAAAGTAGTTTTAAAAAAAAATTTCCAAGGACCAAAAATCCACCAAATATGGATTTTTAAAGAATTTTTTCTTAAAGGACCAGTTGGACAATGAGCGTGAACTTTTTTAAAGGATGTTTTTAGGCATTAAAAGCCCAGCAAAGTTTGTTTATAAAAAATATTTTTTAAGAATCAATAGAATTTTTTTTCAATGACCAATAGACGAATTATCGAGGTCTTTTTAAGGATTTATTTTCAAAAATCAACAGGCCAATAAACGTGGCTTATTAAAGGATTTGAAGGCAGAAATATTTTAAAATATTGTTTTTAAAGACCCATAGATATCCAACGTGGATTTTTAAGGATATTCCTTTCAACATAGATTTTTTGATGATATTTCTTTAAAAGACCAACAGATCCACAGGCGAGGATTTAAAAGATTTTGGTCAAGGGCAAATGAACCAATTTATATGGTTTTTTAAATAATATTTTTTCAATAACCCCAAAATCCTAAAACATAATTTTTTAAGGAATAGATTTTCAGGGACCAGATGGCTATAAAATGTTAATTTCTCTAAATTTCTTACAAAAACTATGACATCATTGAAAGTAGTTTTAAAGAAATTTCTCCAAGGACCAAAAGACCACCAAATCTTGGATTTTTAAAGAATATTTTATTTAAGGACCAATAGGACAATGATCGCGAATCATTTTAAAGGATGTTTGTTAGGCATCAAAAGCCCATCAAAGTTTGTTTATAAAATATATTTTTTAAGAATCAACAGAAAAATAAGTTTGGACTTTTAAAGGATTTTTTTCAAGGACCAATAGACGAATTATCATGGACTTTTTAGGGATGTGTTTTCAAAAATCAACAAACCAATAAATGTGGATTATTAAAGGATTTTTTCCAAGGACCAACGGACCATTAAACTTCAACTTTTTTAACATTTTTTTTTTTGGAAACCAAAAGACTATTAAGTCTGATTTTTTTAAGTATTTTTTTAAGGACCAACAGACGAATTATCGAAGACTTTTTAGGGATGTGTTTTTAAAAATAAACAAACCAATAAATGTGGATTATTAAAGGATTTCTCCAATGACCGAGGACAATTAAAATCCGACTTTTCAATTTTTTTTCGGGAACCAAAAGACTATAAAATCTGATTATTTTAAGGATTTTTTCAAGGATCAAAATACCAATAAACATAAATTTTTAAAGGAATTTTATCAGAGATCAACAGACCTTCAAAAATATTTTTCAGGAACGTGGATTTTCAAATAATATATATTCCAAGGACTAATAGACCAATAAAATTAGGTTTTTAAAGAAAAAATTTCCAAGGACAAATAAAGGTGAATTTTAAAGAGTATTTTCAAAGGACTAACAGACAATATACGAGTATGTTTAGAATTTTTTCCTAAGATTTGGTCTATGGACCTTGGAAAAAATTCTTAATAATTATTAAAATAAGGATTTTAAAGATTTTTTTCAGATCAATAGACACGAATTTTTCAAGTCCATAAAAACGTGGATTTTTAAACGATTTTTCAAAAATGATTTTTTGGTGGATTTTTTTCTAGTACAACTAGACCTATAAAGCCAAAAGATTTAAAAAAAAATTTTTCAAGGATCATTAAACCTGGATTTTTGAAGAATTGTTTTTATCAAGGATCAAAATACCATGAAACGTGGATTTTTAAAGAATTGTCTTCAAGGATAAAAATGGCATTAAAACTGGATTTTTTAAGAAAGAGATTAATAAGGACCATTAAACATTAAATCTTTTAGAATTAATTTTCAAGGACTTACGGAACATAAAACGTGGATTTTAAAAGAATTTACTTTCAAAAATGAAGAGTCCGTCAAGCGTAGATTTTAAAAGCCATTTTCAAGAACCAATGGACAATCAAGCGTGGATTTTTAAAGAAATATATTTACAAGAGATCCTCAAAGGATTTTTTTAAGAAGGACTATTAAAGTGGATTTTTAAAGGATATTTTTTCAGGACAATCAGCGTGAATTTTTTAGATAATACTTATTTTTCCAAGAATCAACAGCGTAATTTTTTAAGGGTATTTTTTTAAGGATCAACAGCGTGGATTTTTTAAGGGTATTTTTTTAAGGATCAACAGTGTGGATTTTTTAAGGGTATTTTTTCAAGGATCAACAGCGTGGATTTTTTTAATGGTATTTTTTCAAGGACCAACAAAAATTAATTCAATTATTTTTGATCTTCTATTGCGACTTAGTAAAAGTAAAATAGATTGTCTATTACATAGATATGAATTTTTTGCTATACATTTTTTAGAACAATTTCATGAATTCTCTGAGCTTTAATCATGGAATTTTTAAGGAATTTTTGGATATATAATTACTAAATTTTTAAAGAATATTTTTCAATGAGCATCATAAATTATTCCTAAAACATTTAATCATTTTATCAAAGATTTAATCTAACATTATCATTAAAATGTTTCCTTAAATACTTTGCTCTATATGTCTACTTTTGTATTTTCATTCCTCACATTATCTTTTGCAATCTATGCCATTACCTGCTTTCCCTAATGCATCCTTTCACACACACACACGCGCACTTAATGCCATTCACAATTTAAAGCAATTAATCTTAACTCTTCTCTTTCTCCTCCGTTTCTTTGTGTGTGTGTGTATGTGTGTGAGAGAGTTTTTTCTTGGTTAGCTTGTTATCTTTAATTTCCCCAAATACCACATTAATTCCCACATGTTTATCCAAGATTTTGCCAATTTCAACCAATTTCTACACCTATTCAACAAACCAAAAAAAAAAAAAACCGAGAGGAGGAAATAATCTCGTTGCTGTGAAAGTCTGTGCCTCCAATGTAAAGGCAAAATTTCCAAAAAAAAAAAAAAAAATCTGCAGTGCATCTAGTTTTCTACATTCATGATGAAAGCCGGAGGCATGGTGTTAAAGGGTAAAAGGAGGGTGTATGAGGTACTGATATCCGGCTACAGAGAGTCACTGTCTGTTAACTGTTTAAATAAGGCATTTTTACTGCTACTGACTGCCTGCCTGGCAGTTTTTCTCCACCGAAATGCTTGTATGCCAACATATTTGCATAACCCTGGGTAAAATATTTTTCTGTAAATTTTGAAACTACTACAACATGGGCAAAAACGTAAAATGAGAGCTAGAAATGCAAGCAAGAATATCGAGACGGAGTCTTAGTGAAAGGAATTTTGTTGCTGGCCGGATGGAGTAGGAGAAAGTAAAGGAAGAATTTATTTTGGGCCCAAGAATTGGATCCACAAGAAATTTGGTTATGAATTTTTTTTGAAGGTTTTTTGGAAAGTAGGCAAGGCAAATACAGGGCGAGATGAAAAAACTGCAACCAACTTCAGACTGATGTCATTTCTAAGCCACTCGTCCGACAGCTGTCAAAATTATTACAGTGACAGCTCATTATATTGTTTACAAGCGCACAAAAGCATTTTGGTGAGAATTTTCCAGAAAAAATGTCATCCGTAATGGAATTCAAGTGTGATAGTATGATTTCTTTATAATTGGCTGGAAAACCACAAGTGGCTATCGTTAGAGCACTCCAGCATTTAAATGTGAATAAATCTTTTGTGTTTCGTACCATCGTTCGCTAGCGAGGTACTGATACTGGTAGCCTAGCCCGACGTCAAGGAAGTGGACGGAAGAAAACAGCAACATCAGCAGAAATGGTTCGAAAAGTAAAGAAGCGACTTGATCGAAAAACGCGTCGCAGTGGCCGAAAAATGGCCCGTGAGCTGCAAATATTCGGGGCTCAAATATTGAAAAATGAGCTCGGGGTAAAGCCATTGAAATTCCAAAAAGTGCAAGAACTTACACCGCAACAGGAAGAAGATAGACTCAAAAGAGTTGCTTCGCTTGGCCTAAAGTGGTGAACTGCCGAATTTGGTTTTCTCCGATGAGAAAACGTTCGTTGTCCAGCCATTTGTAAACAAACAAAATGATCGTGTTTACTTGCCAAAGAGGTCAGGTCAGCTGAAAATGTGCACCTTCGGTTGGCCACCAGAACTCAAGCGCCGGCCATGGTGATGGTGTAGGCCGCCACAACAGCCGATGGAGGGTGTATTAAAGCCTTGGGCACGCAAACGTTTTGGCCGCAGACCTTGGACATTTCAACAGGACTCAGCACCATCGCACTCAGCACGCGCCACCCAAGAATGGTTACCAAATGAGGTTTCTCTCTTCATTTCCAGCGCATAATGGCCACCAAAATCTCCGGATACCAAATCGTTGGACTATTTGGTCTGGAGAATTTTGGAAAGCAAGGTTGGCACTAAAAATTACCAAAGTGTCGATCACCTCAAGCAAGTGCTTCGCCGCGAATGGGCCAAAATACTGTAGAGCAACATTCGGGAAGCGTGTGACGGTTTCATTGGCCGTTTCAAGGCCATATTTCGTGCCAAGGGTGACCAATTCGGACAAATCTAAACTAATTCTTAAATTTGATGCTTTTTCCGACATTTTCTGCTTCCATTCATAAAATTTTAAAAAAATTTAAAAATTGTGGCGTTTGACTTTGTTGCAGTTTTTATACCCTCCACCATAGAATGGAGGGCATATTAAGTTTGTCATTCCGTTTGTAAAACCTCGAAACATACATTTTAAACCCCACAAAGTCGATTAAGCTATGTCCGTCCGTATGTCCGTCTATTCGTCTGTCCGTCTGTGGAAATCACTCTAGGTTCCGAACGAATTAAAGTAGATTGATACAATTTTACTCAAATGTATATTATGTCTGCAGGACTTTTGGTATTGAAAATGGACCATATAGGCCCACGTTTTGGTATAGCCCCCATATAACGGTACCTCCCAATATTCGGTATTTTTACGATTTTTGTGACAATATTTATCGGAATTGTTTCAAATTTGTTATTTGAAGTTCGAAATGGATACTACAGCCTATGACAGAAAATTGTCTGAGCAGGTTCACGTCTTCGTATAGCCCCCATATAACGGTACCTCCCGATATTCGGTATTTTGACGATTTTAGCAAATTTGGTATTTGAAGTTCGAAATGGATACTACAGCCTAATAAAGAAAATGTCCACGTCTTCGCATAGCCCCCATATAACGGTACCCACCGATATTGGGTATTTTGATAATTTTAGCGACATTATTCACCGGAATTCTTTCAAATTTGGTATTTGATGTTCGTAGTGGATACTACAGCCTACCGAATAAATAATTTTTTATATTTTTTAATATAATATAATGTTGGATTTTTATATTTTCATTTTTATAATTTTATATCTCAATTTCCAGACTATCTGCCATACTGCTGCAATTTCCTCTCTGCCCTTTACCAACATTCTACTATCATATTTGACAAACAAAATATAGCTGCAATCTTAATGATGCTGCTTCTCTACTACCATTTGCTTAGTGTATATGTAAGTATATGTAAAACACCAATACCACTTTGCTTTACATTCTCCTAAAAAAAAGAAACTGAAAGAGAACAAGCAATGTAAACTCACCTTCTTTATATGGCACCACATCCGGATTCTTTTCGTCGTTCTTCTTCTCATCGTACCTGGAATCTTCGGTATGACTTAATGGCAGAGAGCTTTTATCTTTAATTTGCAAATTGTCGGGACGTGAGAATCTCTGATTTTGATGTTGATATTTTTGCTGTTGCTTGTGCGAGCGCAACTTCAGTGCGGCAATGGTGCCGATGCCAATGCAAACAATTGCCACTAATATGCCCACGAATATGCCAACGGAGAGTATCGGTGTCAATTCAATATTTGTCTGGGAACCTTTGTACGATGTCAAAGCCACTATGGAGAAGAGAAGAAAAAATGAATAAAGGTTGAGTAAAATGCAAATGTCAGCAATTCACGATGGAAGAGAATAGAGGCAAAAAAAGAAGAAGGGAAATGAAATATATATTGCAAATATATACATGTACATCAAATTGAATATGGAAGAAGAGATTTTTCTTTTGTTCATTCTCTTTGTGTTCAGGTTTCTTTCTCAGTTGACGTTATCATTTATGGATCAAAGGAAGGAGAAATGGGAATAAAATGAAAATTTCTTTTAGCTGCATATAAATCAGTTGCAGTATTCGTTTCTTTCATAAAGGAACAGCGGATTGAACTAATTTTTTGGAGAAGATTTATTGTAAGGTCATCGGAACATTGCTCAGGAGTCAGTTATTCCTAGCTAACGCCAAATATAAATTGACCAATGAAATATTTTTTTTTTATAGGCGATGAATAAAATATTTTTTCAAATCTGAAGCATCAAGAGACCAGAAAAAATAAAAGGAAATTTCAAAAAATATTTTGGTCTCTCAAAATTAAAGCTGCCTTAATAAGTCGCATGGCCCTTTAATTGGTTAACAGGACATGAAATGACTCATATGTTAAATAATTTTTTTTATATTTGTTGCATCACTTGAATGCTTTAAGTATTTGCTTTTTAATTGCTTGACCACTAGGAAATAGTTGTTCTAGATTGTGTTTCTTTTCTATGGGATTTCCATGTCCTTCCGTCATTATCATTATGGTGGGAAAAAAATTTTCTCATTTTATATTGCATACCGCACAATTAGCTAAATGGTTTCAAGTCTTCCTTTTCATCCCGCTAATTATTTGCTATGCCTGGCCTGAGTGCCCACAATTTAGCCTACATTAGGGAAAATAAATGGAAATACAAAGTCCTGGAAAAAATATCCTAGGAGAGGTTTAAAATTTAAAAACAAAACTATAAGAAAGTAAAGCATAGCATTGCAGTTGCGTCAGAGCCTGATATTTTTTTTTTTTTGTTGAAAATTTCAAATTTTGTACTGGCATACCTTTTGAAAAATATCGCGGCACCCGTTTTTCATGAAACTTCTTTTTTCGGAAATTTCTTTTAGCTCTTAAAAATTCCTTTAATAGTTTTTTCCTAATATCCTCTGGATGCCTGTAAGTAAGTAGTCCTTATATTCAAAGCTGGAAGTGTTTTCTACGGGCAAACTACCAGGTAGCCTCCATTTTGAGTTTTGACGAGACTCTAAAAATGGGCTAACCATCTGTGAGAGTAGTCATTTCAAAGTAGCTAAAGCCCACTGGGTTCCGAGCCTCAATATAGGATATGAAAGCCAAGGGGCCCTTTATGGCCGAATTGAAAACGAGAAATTCAATGAATGTTTTAAGAATATTTTTGGAGTCACTTCGGAGCCAAAGATATCGTTATGTATCTTTCAGGAATATATTTTATAAATTTATAAATCTTTGGTTCTCTCCGAGCTATAATCTATAATTTCGTTGAAATATTCTTCGAAGGACTTTAATTGATATAAACATTCATATACTAAATATTAATGAAATGTGTAATCATGTCTCAAATGGCAATCCGTGTTGAGGATGTATTTTTAGGAGTCTATCAAAAATTTAGTTGTGGTCTTTTCAGAAAAAAAATAAATAAATGAAATAAAATAAATAAATAAACAAATAAATGAAATACAAAATATCAGAAAAGGGCCATCGGAAAAAATCCTGAAGTGGATTTTTCCATTTCTGATTTATATGCTTGAATTTCTTATCGGAAACAACATTGGAGATTTTCTTTTAAATTTGTCCCCAGGAGCAACAAAACCATAGTCTTTGGTTTTTACATTTTTAGATCTGAATTCTTCAGACCTGAATTCTTCAGAATCATTTGAAGGCAGTTCATGTTTTTTTTTTTAAGATTTCTTCAACGAACTATAAGGTTTAAGAACTTGAAATTTTGAAGACATATATTTTTTTTTCAGGCAAAACATTTTTATGGGTTTTGGTTTTTCGAAGTTTAATCAGAGTTCTAAGCGTGGATTTTTTAAAACAATTTTAAAGAAAATAAAATATAGGAAAAGATTATTATGGCCTATAAGTTAACATTTTTAAATGGCTTTAACGAGGACAAGGCAATCTAAGGCACTCAAGGCCAGAAATTAGAATTTTTCTTGAACTGTTCAAAGGACCCTCAAATCTACAGGGGCGGACTTTTAAAAACATTTCGTAAAAGTGATTTTTTTAAATTTGTTTTACAGTGGCTTGCTTTGAATCTTATTAGATGCCCAAAGTGTGTGAATTTCTCGACTATTTTGAGAGAAAGAGCAAAGTCATTGGCGTAGATTTTTAGTAGTTCTTTGTGGTTTTTTAAAATATTCTTAAAGGACCTTCAGACTTAAAGTTAGAAGATATTTTTTAAGGACAATCACAGGTCAATTGCAAATTAGAATTTGTCTGGAATTTTTAATGGAAATCTCTAGGAGTGGAGCATTAAGTAGATTTCTTGCTGTGGATATTTTGATTTATTTTTAAAAGAAAGGTTTTGGTAGTCCACCGAGAGGGCTTAATTAAGGACATTTAAGACTTCGATTTTTGAAGGGAATTTTTAAGGTCCGCCACATATAATTTAGCACGATGTACGATGATTTTAATGTAAAATTTAATCTATTGGATGGATTTTAAACGATTTTTCCTAAGCGGTATCAAATTTATTTTTGAAGGACTTCAAGTAAAAATTCAATGTTTTTTCGCAAAGTGTCTATTGACTTGCTTTCTTAAGGATTTTTTTCGTATTCTGAATTCATTCGCATAAAAATATTCTATGAAACTCAATTTTATATTTTTGATTTATTGTTAAAAGAGTGGATTTCGAATCAAATCCCTTTAAAGGGCTACATATGGACGTGGAGGCACACCGAATTTAGAGGGATTAATTTTTTTTAGGACTTTTTTGGAGAATTTCTTGGAATGTTTCCAAAGGACATTTTAGACATCGAATTAAGATGTTATTTTTAATGTCCGTCGCATTAAATTCCTTTTGCAGGATTCCTTACACAACAATTCAATTTTTAAAAATGCTTGTCACAGGGCCATCATTTCTACAGATATCATAAAATATTTATATGATATTTTTTAACCTGTATCAAATTTTTGAAGGACTTCAGTTAAAAATTCAATGTTTTTTCAAAGTATTTATTGACTTGCTTTTTAAGCCTATTTTTTCAATCTATTTCTTTAGAAGAAAATTAAATTGTATTTCTGAATTCATGCCTACAAAGATGTTCTATAAAACTTTAAGTTTCTGTGTGACTTAGATCTTAAAAAAAATCGAAAGCTCCAAAAATCTACAATTCTTAGATTTTTAACCTTCCAAAAAATTAAAACAAATTAATTTAGTTTGCAAGAGTCTTCGAAAATATTGTAAAAGAAGTCCACAATTCGTAGTCTGCCATACCATTAAAAAGTCCCCAAATCTGAATTTTAAATTCGATTTTTAAATTAGATTTAGGCTGTAGATTTTTTAGAGCATTTTTCAAAGGATCAAGCAATTTGTAATATTTTTATTGCATAACACTTTTTCCATTTGACTTTCAGTATTTAATTATAAATCGCTAATATCGTCCGATCCTTACGAAATTTAGAGCTAGGGTTTGGATCAGAATGGAAGCCTATTGTTTTTCAAGATGATCACAAAATATTTGAGGGTTGAAACGAATCGACCAAAATTAGTGGGGACCTAAGAAGGGGTTTTCCTTAATAGAACAATATTGTAGGGTATCACATGGTCAGCCCGCACTACTATAGCTTTTTCTTAGTTTGTTTGAGAATACTTTTGAAGGACGTTCCTTTTGATTCTTTTTTTTTTTAAGGACTTGATGTCATTTATTTTTTTAGAAATTTTTTATCGATTCATATAAAAATTCTTCAAAGATTTAATTCTGTTTATTAGCAGTGATTTCAAGAGATCATTAAGCAGAGTAAAAAATTTTCAGATTTTTTTTCGAAGTACTCCCGAATTGACAGGCGAAATATTTGATTTTTTTTTTTTTTGATTTTTGAATATTTTTTTTTTTTTTTTTTGATAGAAATCTCGCAGTGATGGGTATGTTTTTTCACATGACCATCAAAATGACAGCCATAGAATTTTTGAAAATAATTTAAATTACTCATGATTTTTTTAATTTTTTTTTGAATAAAAGCTGTGTGATTTTTTTTCTCAACGGGTTTATCGAATTTTAAAATTGAAACCATTTTTAAATTTTTGTTTTTTATAAAATCTTAGTACTTCCCAGTAATTGCTAACATATAAGCTCTTTAATTTCCTAACTAAATTATCGCAGCATTTGTGACCCTTACAAATTTTTGTATTTTGTACAAACGGTTTACTAATGCGATTGACGTCATTTGTAATCTACAACAGGATATCCTCTTCACACCAAAGTTAAAATTATTATTTTTTGCTTATTTAAATATTAATATTTATTCATTTTTACCGACTAAAAATTGAGCCCCATATGCAGTGGGATACAGGTCCTTATTATTCCTTCCACTTATCACCGGACATTACATTTAATTGAATGAAATTTATCAATTAAGAACTTTTGTCATTAAAAAACAAGGATAAAAGTCAATAAAGAACATTATTAGGAAACGAAAAACAACAAAACTTACAAAACAACAATAAAACTTTAACATTTATCTCTTCTTTGCTTTTGTGCCAACCAAAAGTATTCCAAAAGAATTATTAAGGACTTTTTCCAAGAAGAAAACAATATCTCGACTTAAAATGTTTTCCAATGGTCCACTTATTTTACATAAACACCCAGGAAATGAGAAAATAAAAAAAAAAAACAAAAAGAATAAAGATGTCCACCACCAGCCATCGTCGTTTATGCATTCATTGTGAATGGCATCATCAGCGTCATCATAAAAAAATAAAAAAAAAAAACTTTCTGCTGGACAAATATTTAACGCATAATTGCACAAAATATTTCAGCGTGGCTATGGCTATAATTAAAGCAAACACACGAAAAAAATGAGATTTTTTTGAAAGAAAACTGGGGAAAAAGAAACCGAAGGCCACGTAGGGCGCATGAAAATTGAAAACAACAAATTGAAAAGTGAAAAACAACGAGGGCGTACAGCTCTCCCTCACCTCCCCATCCCCCCATTTTTCAATCAATAAGGGCGAAGTTATTTTGTGGTTTTCTATACAAAAACACTCTCCCCCCATCGTGGAATTCAATTGCCATTGCAGATGCTGGGCGTTTTTTTCTTTTATTTTCTTCATTCATCACCCCTCCCCCTTCTATTCGTGCAGAATTTTTTGGGGAAAAACCAATAAACTTTGTTGAAATGAATATGGCTTCGAGGCGAGCATATTTCCACGCTTGATAACTTGAATTTTCATTAATAAATTGGAATCTAGTTTAGATTTACAAAAAAAAAAAAAAAAAAAATCGTGGAATTTTCGGTGGTTTATTTTGTTTTTCCTTTGTTTTTGTCAATGATATGGAACGGAGAAAAATAAAAAAATTGAAAATTGTAAAGTTCTTAGGAAGCTGGGATTGCCGTTTCTCTAAAATTTGTGGAGGATGACATACATCATTTTTGACATGGAATTATTATTTCTTATCTTTCCCAAGGAGTTTTTAATGAATTTATGATTCCAAGTATTTAAACTTCAGATTTCAAATATTTGTAGCCTTTAAAGCTTCAATTGAGGATTTCTTAAGGAATTTCCCTGAGCCTTTAGAGCTGTAATGTCAGCCCCAGCCGTGGATTTCTCAACAAGCTGTAAAACTAAAATCTGAGAAGCTTGTAAAGGTTATATCATAGATTTCTCAAATAACTTTTGTGAAGTTTTAAATTAACTTTTCTGAGAATCCTTGAAGGCTTTAATCGCTGAGTCTTAAAGAAATTTCTACAGTGATCCTTCCAAGCTTAAATTTTACATTTTAGAGAGACTTTCCTTTCATCGTGGATTTTTGAAGGAGCTTTTCTGAGAATCTTTCAAGCTTTAATCAAGGATTTTAAATAAGTTCTTTACTGAGAATCCTTCATAGACTTAATCGTGGATTTTAAAGTTTTTTTTTTTTCTACAAATTATTTTTCTTAAAATTATTCAAAGCTTTAAACGTAGCTTTTTAAAGGAACTTTTTTGAGCTTTTATCGTGGATTTCTAAAAGAACTTTGCAAAGTTTTAATCGCGGATTGTTAAAAGAACTTTACAAAGTTTTAATCGCGGATTTTTAAAAGAACTTTACAAAGCTTTAATCGTGGATTTAAAAAAATGCAAAGCTCTAATCGTGGATTTAAAAAAAAAATACAAAGCTTTAATCGTGAATTTTTAAAAGAATTTTACACAGTTTCAATCGTGAATAAAGAAGCTTGTCAAGGCTTTAATCGCGGATTTTAAAAGGACCCTTTTTAAAGCTTAAATCGCAGATTTTTAAAATAACTTTTCAAACATTAATCATGGATTTAAAGGGAACATTTCAAAGCCTAATCGTGGATTTTTAAAGAAACGTTTTCTAAGCTTTAATCGTGAATTTTGAAAGGAACCTTTAATAGCTTTAATCGTAAATTTTGAAACAACCTTTCTGAGAGCTTTCCAAAGCTTTTATCGTGGATTTTCAAACAACCTTTCTGAGAACTCTCCAATGCTTATATGGCGAATTTTTAAAGAAATTTTTTCTAAGCTTTAACCGTGGATTTTCAAAAGAACTTTTTCTAAGCTTTAATCGTAGATTTAAAAGGAACGTTTTTGACAATCCTCCAAATCTTTTATCTTGGATTTGGAAACAACTTTTCTAAAAGCTCTTCAAAGCTTTTATGGTGGATTTTGAAACAACTTATCTTTCTAAAGCTTATATGGCTAATTTTTAAAGGAAGTTTGTCTAAGCTTTAATCGTGGATTTTTAAAGGAACGTTTCTGACAATCCATCAAAGCTTTTATCGTCGATTTTGAAACAACTTTTCTAAAAGATTTTATGGTGGATTTAAAGATTTAATAAAACAACTTATTTAAGAGCTTTCTAAAGCTTATATGACGGATTTTTAAGGAAATTTTCTGTGAATATTTAAAAGCTTTAATCGTGGATTTTAAATCAACTTTTCTGACAACTTTTTAAAGGTTTTATCGTTCCACTTTAAAGGAACTTTTCAAAGCTTTAATCGTGGATTTTTAAAGGTTTTTTTTTTAAGAATCCTTAAAAGAACCCTTCTTTCAAAGCTTTAATTATGGATTTTTAACGAATTTGCTTTAAGAACCCTTCAAAGCTTTAGGCGTGAATTGTAAAGAAACTTTTCTAAGATTCCTACAAAGCTTTAGCCGTGAATTTTAAAGAAAACTGTTCTAAGATTTCTTCAAAGCTTTAATGATTCATTTTAAACGAAGTTTTCTGGAAATTCTCCAAAGTTTTAATGTCTGACTATTTAAGAAATTGATGATAAACTTTTAAAAGAATTTTTTCGAGAATCATTTCATGCATTAATCGTGGATTTTAAAGGAACTTTTCTGAGAATCGTTCTGAAAAACCTTCAACGCATTTATAGTGGATAAAAAAAAAACATTTCTAAAAATAGCTTCAATCATGAATATTTAAGAATATTTTAAGCTGACCTAAAAATCTCTTTTTATGAAGTTTTAGAGAATTTTTTGGACAAAATTCACAGATCTAACTCTAGATGTTCCTTAACCGTCGATTTTAAGTGGCTTTTTGGGCGTTCTTTGTAGCATTTATAGTGATTTTTTGGAATTTGTTTTAAAAGCTTGTAAGGCGTTAATCGTGAAGTTTTTAGGAAACCTCTATTTTAAATTTCCTACAGCTCTAATTCTAAATTTTTTCCAGGGTCGATAGTTGCAGGATCGGGAAATTTTGAGGACATTTCTCGAGAGTATTTAAAAAATATATCGTGTACTCTTTTAAAAAGCCTATAAAATTTCAAAATTTTCGTGAAAATATAAAGGATTTTTCATGCAGTTTCTTATGTTTTACTACGGTTTTAAGATTTTTATATTTATTATAATTAGTATTATTATTATTATTATTATTATTATTATTATTATTATTATTATTATTATTATTATTATTATTATTATTATTATTATTATTATTATTATTATTATTATTATTATTATTGTTATTATTATTATTATAATTATTATTTTTTAATTTATTTATTTATTTATTTATTATTTTTTTTTTTTGATATTTCAAGAAATGTTGAGTTTAAATATTAAGTCGCAGATTTTAAGGAACCTTTTAAATCTTCGATTTTGGATCTTTCAAATAGCTTTCAATGAAGTTTTCTTATTGAAGGCTTTTATGATTTTTTTTATAAAGACCCTAGGAGATTTTGATATAAAAGACATATGGACTCTTCGTATATAAAGTGCATGAAATCTTCATATTGAGGGACTATGAGGTCTTCATATAGGAGACTTTTGAGGTCTTCATGGGGGAGGCCCATGACTTGTAGTTTTACAATAAAAATAAATTAGTTTGGCAACCCTGCCCATCAATGACAAATCTTAGAAGAAGGCGAAAAAGCAAAAGATATTAAAATTTGTTTGTGGGCTTTTTCTGGTGGCACCAGGGCTTCCGTAACAATTGATATGTAAATAAAAATATTATTTTACATATTTTATTTTCCTTTTCGTTTCGTTTACTTTGTTCGGTGTTTGTTTTGCGCCACAAAACTCATGAAATATTCATAATTTTAAATTGTATGCAAGGCAAAAAAAAAAAACCGAGCCAACGAATAAAAAAGAAAAGAAAATTTTTAAAATATATGCATGCTGCTGGAGTATTTTGGCCTTAAGAAATTATGGCAACCGCTAAGAATAAAGCTACTAGAATTTACTGCTATTTTCCCCTTTTTTTTGGCCACGCCAAAGAGGCTAAACAAAAGTTATGACAAAGGCCCCCGGGGGGCTGTAGAAGCCGAAAAAATATGAAATTGTTTAAAAGAAAATTATTTCGACAACTCAACAACTTGATGAGAAATGAAAGCCAACATATTTTGATGGTGTGGTGTTTTTTTCTGGTGGAAAAAAGAACAGGAAAATGTCTAACAAATTTTTATGAGTTTTATGATTAAGGCCAAGAATTTTGCAAAGAACGGAAGCTGTGAGGGACCAAGGATCACAGAATTGGTGTAAGTGATAATGTGATAATGGGTGGGGGTATGTTGCTGTAAATTACCTGTTTGTTTCTCTGCAGCCTTGAGGGTATAGCCCTCCAGGAGCACGGGTTCACTGCGTCCTCTGACATTCACCGCATACATAAACATTTTGAAAAATCGCCCCGAATCCAAGCCATTGACACTTATTACCGGATATTTGGAGGATATGTTAGCCTGCAAGGTGGCCGTCTGTTGATCAAAGATTTCGAGTAGGAACCATTGGCGTAGACCACCATCAAAGCCTGGAGAAGTAAAGATAAGTGAAAATTCGAAATGTTAAAGAATTTTGAAAACTAAAATAAATAAAAAATAGTTCTTGTTTTTGAAATTAGGTTTGATGTCGTATTAATTGAGCCTTTCGATAAATCATTAATAATACAGGGTGAGATGAAAAAACTGCAACCAATTTCAGACTGCTGTCTTTATATTTGGCTAGAAAACCACAAGTGGCTATCGTTAGAGTACTCCAGCATTTAAATGTGAATAAGTCTTTTGTGTCTCGTACAATCGCTCGTTACAGTGATACTAGTAGCGTGGCCCAACGTCAAGGAAATGGACGGAAGAAAACAGAAAAGAAGCGACTTGATCGAAACCCGCATCGCAGTGGCGGAAAAATGGCTCATAGCTGAACATCGCAATATTCCATTCGGCAAATATTGAAAAATGAGCTCGGCCTAAAGCCATTGAAAGAAAGAAAGAAAATTGACTCAGAAGAGCTAAAGAGTTGCTTCGCTTCAACGAAAGTGGTGAACTGCAGAATTTGGTTTTCTACGTCTCCGATGAGAAAACATTCGTTGTCCAGCAGTTTGTAAACAAACGAACAAATGATCGTGTTTACTTGCCAAAGAGGTCAACTGAAAGTGTGCACCTTCGGTTGGCCACCAGAACTCCAACGCCGGCCATGGTGATGGTGTGGGCTGCCATAACAGCCGATGGACGCTCTCCGCTCGTTAAATCGATCGTGGCATCAGAATAAATGTAGAACACTATAGCGAAAATATTCTGGAGGGTGCACTAAAGCCTTGGGCAGGCACACATTTTGGCCGCAGACTTTGAACATTTTACGGGGACTCAGCACGAAACTGAAAATGTGCACCTTCGATTGGCTACCAGAACTCAAGCGGCGGCCATGATGATAGTGGGGGCCGCCATAACAACCGATGGTCGCTCTCCACTCATATTAATCGACCGTGGCATCAGAATAACTGCCGCATATTATCGCGAAAATATTCTGGAGGGTGTATTAAAGCCTTAGACACGCAAACATTTTGGCCGCAGACCTTGGACATTCCAACAGGACTCAGCACCGTCGCACCCAGCACGCGTCACCCAAGAATGTTCGGAAAATGAGGCTTCTCGCTTCATTTCCAGCGCACAATGGCCACCAAAATCTCCGGATACCAATCCGTTGGACTATTGTATCTGGAGTATTTTGGAAAGCAAGGTTGGCACTAAAAAATACCAAAATGTCGACCACCTCAAGCAAGCGCTTCGCCGGGAATGGACCAAAATACTGCAGAGCAACATTCGGACAGCGTATGACGGTTTCATTGGCCGGTTGAAGGCCATTATTCGTGCAAAAGGTGACCAATTCGAACATATCTAAATTTATTCTAAAATTTGATGCACATTCCAACAGGACTCAGCACGCGCCACCCAAGAATGGTTACAAAATGAAGTTTCTCACTTCATTTCCAGCGCACAATTGCCATTGACTTTGTTGATGGCGTTTGACTTTGTTGCTTTTTTTATCCCACCCTGTATTTTCCTCCTCAGCTCAATCTTATATTTAACAATTTGAATTCAATAAATACGTCGGTCAGTTATTGTAGTGCCATTTTTGACACCTTTCTATTTTGTTTTTTCTTAGTATTTGTTATTTCCGTTATGTTTTGATATTTCAAAACACAAAAATTTGCCAAATCTGACATTCTGTTAAATACCGGTGGTGTTCAGATGCCAATACAAAAGAATTTATTAGTCCAACGCAAATTGTATGCATTTGCTCTTAACTTACAACAATTCAGGTTTCAAACTGAAGTTCCCCATTGTTGTTGTTGGTGTTGGTAAAAACCAAGAAGAAGACGAGAGAGAGAGAGAAAAAAGAAACACATCAAGTAAATAACAATGGCAAACTCAAAATTGATTGCATGATAGAAAATGCCAATCAACAGGGTATTCAATTCAAGAGTTTTCCTCAATTTCCGTTCGTTCACTTCACTTGACTTGAGACTTGGTGGTGGCTTTAGGTTTTCCCATTTCGAACAACAATGTGTGGTATTGTGTGTCGATGTGTGAGATTGTGTGTGTGTGTGTGAAATACATTATACTTGACATTTCTTTTGTGTGAGTTAGTGAGCGAATATGTGTGTGTGGGGTTTATGCATCATCACATGAAGTGTGTTTTGTGTGGCCGAAGATGAATAACTGAAATTGTTGCTATTGTTGTCGATGTTGTGTGACAAAAGGAAACAAAGAAAAAAAGGTCACTCCAGATGCTAACTACATTGGCTCGAGGTGTAGACATTTTGTTGCCATTATCTCTTGTCATCACTGGCCATCCGTGGACATTTATAAACTCGTCACAGAATGGGAAGGGAAATGTCAAGCACAACAGGAAGTGTATAGGGGATAAAGTGTATACCCTATATCGACGTGAGATGTTAGAGCAGAATTTCAATTTCGTGTTGAAAAAAAAAATAAATAAAAAATTCTTTCCATTCCAAATTCCTTATTTTCAATAATAAAAAATATTTTTTTTTTGTTGAATAGAGGGTGAGATAAAAAAACTGCAACAAAGTCAAACGCCATAATTTTTCTTTTTTTTTAATTTTTGGAATGAAAGCAAAAAATGTCGGAAATAGCATCAAATTTTAGAATAAGTTCAGATTTGTTCGAATTGGTCACCTTTGGCACGAACTACGACCTTCAAACGGACAATGAAACCGTCATACTCTGCTCGAATGTTGCTCTACGGTATTTTGGCCCATTCCCGGCGAAGCGCTTGCTTGAGGTGATCGACACATTGGCATGTTTTTAGTGCCAACCTTACTCTCCAAAATATTCCAGACACAATAGTCCAACGGATTGGTACCCGGAGATTTTGGTGGCCATTGTGCCCTGGAAATGAAGTAAGAAACTTCTTTGTGTAACCATTCTTGGATGGCGCGTGCTGAGTGCGATGGTGCTAAGTCCTGTTGGAATGTCCAAGGTCTGCGGCCAAAATGTTTGCGTGCCCAAGGCTTTAATACACAAAAATATTTTCGCGATAATATTCGGCATTTATTCTGACGCCACGGTCGATTAATACGAGCGGAGAGCGTCCATCGGCTGTTATGGCGGCCCACCACCATCACCATGGCCTGCGCTTGAGTTCTAGTGGCCAACCGAAGGTGCACATTTTCAGCTGACCTCTTTGGCAAGTAAACACGATCTTTTTGTTTGTTTAAAAACTGTTGGACAACGAATGTTTTCTCATCGGAAAAAAATCAAGTTTGGCAGTTCATCCCTTCGGACAAACTCTTTGGAGTCTATTTTTTTTCTGTTGCAGTGTAAGTTCTTGAACTTTTTGAAAATTTCAAAGGCTTTACCCCGAGCTCATTTTTCAATATTTTCCGAATGGAGTATTGCGATATATTCAGCTCACGAACCATTTTTCGGCCACTGCGACCCGGGTTTCGATCAAGTCGCTTTTTTACTTTTCGAACCATTTCTGCTGATGTTGATGTTTTCTTTCGTCCCCTTCCTTGACGTCGGGCTACGCTACCAGTATCTGTATCACGGTAACGAGCGAGGGTACGAGACACAAAAGATTTATTCACATTTAAATTCTGGAGTGCCCTAACGATAGCCACTTGTGGTTTTCCAGCCAAATATAAAGAAATCACACTATCACGCTTGAATTCCATCACGAATAACGTTTTTTTTTTTTTTGGAAAATTCTCACCAGAATGCTTTCGTAAGCTTGTAAACAATACAATGAGCTGTCACTGAAATAATTTTAACTGCAGTCGGACGAGTGGCTTAGAAATAACAGCAGTCTGAAGTTGGTTTCAATTTTTTCATCTAAATTTTTTTTGAATTTACTTACTTCTCGATTAGGATGGTCCAAAAAGGCAGGTCATTTGGACTTATAACGACCAGTTGGTGCACAATTATACCGAAATCGGTTGAAGATATAAGGGAGTTATATTTAAGTCTGATCCCAATCGAATAATAAATGCTACCTGAATTTTGTCTCGACAATATATGGACAGGCGGATGGACGGACTCAGAAAGTGATTCTATGATGATCCTCAAAAGGAACTATGGGCTATCTCGCTTCCTTATCCATGTTACAAACAAATACACAAAGACATAATATCCTTACCGAGGTGGTGTAGGGTATAACAAAAAATAGGCATCCGATTAACTTAAAATTTTATTCATCTTATTTTTTACTAATATGAGAATCGGCCCACCTCTCTCATATTTTTCTCAAAAAGCGATCTAATGTGAATATGGTATTCATCGGTCCACTCCTTCTGGTACCTCCCCCACAAAATCTTAAGATTTCTATTTACAATTATTCTCATCAAATTGGAAATGCATTTGCGATTTTCTTGAACTCTTGGACGGGGCCCACTACTTCGGAACCGCTCCCATTAAAGGTCAACTGTTTGAATAATCAAAATGTAACTTAAAATATATTTTAATAAACGGATGGTGGCTGAAGGTATATATCTGAAATCGGAAAATCGACTAACGCTTTTCTTGTAATATTCTATTTTTTCAGGACTAGCTCTTCGAGTCCAGCTATTCTAGTTTTTATCCAGAAATTTTACTTGATATTTAAAATTTTTTTATAATTTTCTTTTTAAGGCCAATCTGGGCTGAAATCTGGCTTATTTAATAATTTTTTTTTTTTTCAATAACGAACAGAGATTTTTAAGGTAGATTTTTCAAGAATTCATAAACCTGGATTTTTAATAAACACTTTTCAAAGATATTTTCTTAATAAATATTTTTTCCTAAAGACCACTAAATGGGCCGTAAAATGCCATAATTTTTTTAAAAAATATTTTTCAAGGACAACATGATTGGTTTTTTTCCAGTTACTAATTTTAAAGTATTTTGCCTTAAAAAATAAAAAAATATATATTTATTTATTTCACATTTATATTCCATTGGAATAGTTTTTTATTTTCACAATTTATCAAAATCTCCTTTAGATCAATAAAGAAAAAATACCTCAATTTAAATATTATTTGGAAATAATCACAAAATATTTATTTTATCTCTTCTGCCATATACTCAAATCTCTCTTAATAAACTAAGATTTGTGCTAGTAAATATTCATAGAAATGTATTTGAAAAAAAGCCTATATCTATCGAGAAAAGAAAATATTTATCACAACATTATTTGCCAAAAAAAACGAACGAATATTCATAGACATGTAGGCCTTGAAAGATTTTGCCAAATGCTTTTGAATATTTTATTTATTTTACTTTCATTTATGGACATCGTATGGGATTTTTTTTTCGTTTTGCAGACGGGGCACCCTCTGTGGCCTTTTTTCCTTTGGCTCAACTATAGGCACTGAAAGTTTGCCGTTTAAGCCATCAGATGTATCGTTTCATTTATTTTGTTTTTCATAAGAATTCATTTGTATAGAAAATTATTTAGAATTTTATTTTTCATTTATATTTATAAAGCAGAAGAAACGAAGTCAATTAAAATTGTTGGGTAAGAAAAAAAATGAACACACATGCACACAAGCACACACACACAAACGCATAGAACTACAATTGATGTATTCAGATTGAAATTGCTTATGAAGTCCAAGAATTGCAAAATAAATATACCTTGATGAAATAAAAATGGTAAATATACAAAGAAATGTGTGTCCATAGACGACAACATATACATACATACATACAAACATACATACAACATAGAATTGTGTAAGATAAACATTCACAATAATTTTTCAAACCAACATAAGTAGTTTATTTTGTAGTTATTTTAGATGGTTACCATAAAAATTTGACCAAAAATACCATTTCAGGTTATACCAAATTTGAGTATAATTTGATACCATTATTTAAGGATTTTAATTGTAACATAGTTTTTCAAAACTCACTATTAAAAATATTTAAATGTATATTATACAAAATTATTAAGAATCTAGATTTATTGCCAATCACATTAATAATGCTCCAAACAGCCCTTGAGAAATCTGCACTTAACGCCCCAGTAAAATCAAAATATTAATATAAAAATTTCAAAAATTATTGGATCCTTAAATAATTTTTCTAAAAAATCCTTAATGGAAGCTCTTTAGGACCCTAAAAACCCTATAAATCCGCAATTAAAACTCTAACACTAGAAATTTTGAGTTTTAGTTCTGTTAGCCCTTGAAAATATTTATCTTTATTAAAAAATAATAAAAAAAAGTTTATAATTGCTATATTAAAAATTCTGGGTTTCATCAAAAACATTTTTGACATTTTTAGTTCGTTGTCCTTTAAAAATATTTTAAAAAAAATACAAATTTATTTCTGAACCCAGAAATATATTCATTGAAACTTTAAGTTCAAAGCCCCGTTTTTATTTTTTTATTTAATTTATTTATTTATTTATTTATTTATTTATCTATTTATTCATTTTATTTATTATTATTAATATTATTATTATGATTATTATTATTATTATTATTATTATTATTATTATTATTATTATTATTATTATTATTATTATTATTATTATTATTATTATTATTATTATTATTATTATTATTATTATTAAATAATAATAAATACTTATATATATTCGTTTAAATCTCTGCTTGTACCAAACATAACTCCGATCGATCTGGGAAGGTCTACACAGCGGCTGCCGAACACGCCTTCAGTAGGCTGCCAAACAAAATTAGACACATCTCATCTCAGTATACCTGGACATCTGTCCCCGAACGTAACCACAGTGAGCTGCTCCCGAACATACTTCCGGAACCAAACACCGCATGAGGATCTTCTGCCGAGCGAAAGGCCGTCCCCGTCCTCAACCCGCCTCCGAAAACTTGGACATCTACAAAACGAACGCCGACGTCACTTCGAACACCAGCAGCCTTACTTCTGATTACATTCAACCCGTCGACAACCGACGGCCATAACTTCTCGATCACCTTAAATTTGTCACCATTTCGAACGCCAGCGTTATCCGAACACAAACATCGTAATTCCTAACTTGACAACATTCGAAGGTCACCCTAGAGCACCCAACACTGGTGGACATAATCTCAATTGGAATTATGGGGATTATATCCGATTTCGTGATTTTATCCGATTGTGAGACCTATCCCAGAGGAGAAAATTTCAAGCCCTGGACAAGGCTGGCTACTTACAAAAGGTATCAGGTTTAGAAAAAATATTGATCGCTTAGCCGGTGTTAGACATATCGCAGAGGAGAAAATCTTAAGCCCCCGACGAATTCCGGCTACCGACTTTATGATTTCTATCACTAATATCTTCGGAACTACAAGAGATATCAGCACAATTGGCACCATTTTGGAAAGGCAAGAGTGTAGTTTTTAAATGTTACTACCAAACATTGAGAAGATTATTGACTTTTCATTTTTTTTTTTTTTTTTTCAAAAAGTCCCGCTACAAAAATATTAATTTACTTGTATTTCTCGGGGACCGGTTCAAGCATCCCCATCATATGACCATCTTTAAGATTGGTATTTCCATATGCCATTTTTTAGAATCCGGATACCAATTTTTAGAATCCGGATTTTGTTCCGAATTTTCGGGTCGAAGAAATTTACTCCTCATATTTCGTTGGGTTTAGTGGGTTCTTTTGATGTCCCTGGATACAGCTGGACTTCACTCAGTCGACGAGAAATCCAGGGTTATTATTTTGATAATCCTTAATAAAGTTTATTAAAAGACATCTATTGCTCCTCTAATAATTCTTTAAAGGATACATGCTTTTTTCTGAAAATCATGTACAAAATTCTATCAAAGATCCCAAATTCATCTAAACCCCCCCGTCTCCAATTTTGGCATCAAGATCTAAGATCCTCCTCTTTTCACAACTTTAAACCCTCCACCTTAAAAAGGAGGGTATATTAACTTTGTCATTCCATTTGTACTATTCATAAATATTCGTCGTAGATCCCATAAAGTATATATATACAAGATCAGCATAAAATTCTAAGTCGATTTAACGATGTCCGTCTGTCTGTCTGTTGAAATCACGATACAGCCCACCTTATTTGACGTAGAGCCTCAAAATTTGGGAGAACGATTTGTATTATGTCTAGGATGGTTGGTATTGAAAATGAGATATATCGGTCCACGTACATGTATAGCCCCCATATAACAGTACCTCCGGATATTCGGTATTTTGATGATTTTAGCGATATTATTCACCGGAATTGTTTCAAATTTGATATTTGAAGTTCGAAGTGGATACTACAGCCCAAGACAGAAAATTGTCTGTGCCGGTTCGTGTCTTCGTATAACCCCCATATAACTGTACATCCCTATATTCGGTATTTTGATGATTTTAGCCACATTATTCACCGAAGTTGTTTCAATTTTGGTATTTGAAGTTCGTAATAGATACTACTGCCTATGACCGAAAAATTGGCTATGCAGGTCCACGTCTTCGTATAGCCGCCATATAACGGTAACCCAGATATTCGGTATTTTGATGATTTTAGCGACATTATTCAACGGAATTGTTTCAAATTTCGCATTTGAAGTTCGTAATACTGGATACTACAGCCTATGACAGAAAATTCGTATAGCCCCCATATAACGGTACCTCCCGATACTCGGTATTTTGATGATTTTAGCGACATTATTTACCGGAATTATTTCAAATTTTGTATTTGAAGTTCGTAATGGATACTACAGCCTAAGACAGAAAATTGTCTGTGCAGGTTCACGTCTTCGTATAGCCCCCATATAACGGCACCTCCTGATATTCGGTATTTTGATGATTTTAGAGACATTATTCACCGGAATTGTTTCAAGTATTGTATTTGAAGTTCGTCATGGATACTACAGCTTATTAGGGTTGTATATTCCCCAATATAACGGTTACATTCGGTATTTTTAAGATATTAATAGAATTTTTAACGGTTTTTAATTTTTGAAAATAGCCAAATTCGTTCCAAATGGTGGAGGGTATTCAAAGTTCGGCCCGGCCAAACTGACAGGTTTCTTACTTGTTAAATATTCCACTTGACCCTTCATGTGATTAATATATATATCACCAAACAGAAAGACTCAATTATATGGAATAGATACTTTAACAATATATAATTATAGTGTCATTCATATTCAAAATAATATATAATTTATATAATTTTCTCTCCTCCTTTTTAAATACTTACCTTCAATGCAATAGACTTCCAGGGAATCGGAGGTTTGATTGACAACCGTACAATTGGATGGCATTTCAGGTTTGCCAGCTGCTATTAAATGAAAGACACAGGGTTCCTTTTGTTGGCCCACATTGTTATCGGCCCAGCACATAATGGTGCCAAAGTCCATTTCCTGTAAAGAGAGAGAGAGAGAGAGAGAAAAAAGAAAGAAAACAAGAAAGTGAGTGGAAGCTGACAAAAACAAATCAGGCAGGAAGTTAGAAACGACAAAAGAAAGAAATGTCTCCAAGCTGAAGCAATGAACGATGCATGATAACAATAACAATAAATGTTTTGTTGTTGAATATGGTACTACAACAAAATTACTAACTAACACACATATGTTTTCACTTCAACAAACCACCCCCCCCCACACACACACACACACGTATACACAAAAACAATTCATTGTTGTTGTTATTTTTCTTCTTTGGAAAAATGTCATTAAAATCATTTCCTTTTTTTTCTGTGGACTACGCAGCTGGGTTGTTTGGCGGTTGGTTGGTTGCCACCACTGCCACAGCCGCTTTTGGATTGTTGCTGACTGCACTTTGCCGGCTGCCACTGTGTAGCCACAAAAGTTGTTCGTCAAAGTACAAAAATGTTTGGGCATTATTTTTATTTTTCTTTTGTTTTTGTTGTTTTCGTTTTTTTTCGTTGTTCTCTGTTCTCGTAATTATATTATTAAAGTTTAAAATAAAAATTTTTCGGCTTTTACAGAACTTTGAATTGCTGTTATTAAAGTTAGTGAATAGCCGCATCACAAAAGTTGCCAAACTACTGATGAGTGGATTTTGGGGCTGCAACATTTCACACACACACGCACACACACACACTCACTTGCCCATGCATCCACTCATTCATCCTCTCACAAACACTTGCAAACTGTTGTCGGCACTTGGCAATACAATTTTGACATGGCCAAAACACCACAAAGTGTAAAAATTGTGCTGTTGTTGTAATTGTCGTTGTTTTGTGTTTTTTTTTTTTATTTTTTCTGTTTTTTGGTTTTGTTTCGCATTTAAGGAAGTAAATTAAAAATTAAAACATGAAATATGGGTCAACAGTTTAGATGGCTGTGAGAGTGTGTGTGTGAGCGGGTGTGTATGTGAGTGGGTACTCTTTTTTTCCGTTGATGCTGCTCTTGCTTTGAGGTTATATTTGTGGAGGTTATTTAAGATGTAATTATTTGAAAATAAAGTTCCAGAAAATGAATATATTTTGTGGGCGCAGCGGGCGAGGAGTCAAGAAATGCAATTAAGAGACTTAATTTCAAAGATGACGATGAATGATATTGGTCATAAAATCTGAAAAGTTGACATTCATTGCATAAAAAAATTGAAAACAAATTATTTTGAAAGGTATTCATCTGCCATAATTCGATAGACTCAAATTCATATTTTTCTATGGACATCAGAGCTCAAATCGTGGATTCTTAAGGATATATATATATTTTTTTTTTCAAATATCAAAGGTAATTGTTTTCTTGTTGGACTTTTTAGAACTGTCACATTGTTTTTTTTTTTTTTTTTTTTTTTTTTTTTTTTGGAACCCGAGTTATCAACGTGGCATTTAAAGGGCTACTTATAGGTCATATAATCTGACATAATAAGATGGACCCCAGTGCTTTATTCTGCTAGTGGATTCTAAATGGTCATCAATAATTCTATAATAATTCCCCCAACAATGGGGTGGGCGGAGCTCCCAATATTCCATTCGGCAAATATTGAAAAATGAGTTCGGGGTAAAGCCATTGAAATTCCAAAAAGTGTAGGAACTTACACCGCACCCCAACAGAAAGAAAATAGACTCAAAAGATCAAAAGAGTTGCTTCGCTTGGCCGAAAGTGGTGAAATGCCGAATTTGGATTTCTCCGATGAGAAAACATTCGTTATCCAGCAGTTTGTAAACAAACAAATGATCGTGTTCACCTTCGCTTGGCCACCAGAACTCAAGCGCCGGCCATGGTGATGGTGTGTGTCGGCATAACATCCGATGTTCACGCTCCGCTTGTATTAATTGACCGTGGCATCAGAATAAATGCCGAATATTATCGCTAAAATATTCTTGAGGGTGTATTAAAGCCTTTGGACATTCCCACAGGACTCAGCACCATCGCACTCAGCACGCGCCACCAAAGAATGGTTTCAAATTGAGTTTCCTCGCTTCATTTCCAGCGCACAATGGCCACTAAAATCTCCGGATACCAATCCGTTGGATTATTGTGTCTGGAGTATTTTGGACAGCAAGTTTGGCACTAAAAATACCAAAGTGTCGATTACTTTAGTCAAGGTCTTCGCCGGGCACACCAACATTCGGTCAGCGTGTGACGGTTTCACTGACCATTTGAAGGTCATAATTCGTGCCAAAGGTGATAAATTCCAACAAATCTAAAGTTATTTAAAATTTGATGCTATTTCCGACATTTTCGCTTTCATTTAATAAAATAAAGAAAAAAAATATGATTTTTGGCACATCCGACCGAATTCATTCTAGAAGTATGTACATCGAATTTGAAGAAAATCTGTTCAAATATTGCTATATCTTCCATATATATATTTCTTCCGATTTGGGGTTTTAAAATATGACATTTTATCACGATCGGATCAGATTATGATATAGCTCTTATCAGGTTCATTTTGGACTAAATGTCCAATATCAGCACAACTGGACTGGATTTTGGGCAAATTCCGACTGAGTTCATCTTAGAAACAGATACTTAAAATTGTGTGGAAATCGGTTTAGATATAGCTATAGCTCCCGTACATATTTTTCATCCGATTTGGGCTTTTAAGTCCCTCACATGCGTAATATGCACTCCACATCAATAATATTACTAGATATCCGACACAGCTCAGAAGTAAATGTTTAAAATTTTGTCAAGATCGGTCCAGATTTGGATCTAGCTCACATTTATATCTTTATCCGATTTCAGGATTTTTTGTTTGTGCACCAAATGGGGTAATATCAACCCAAATGGAACGAATCTTTGGCAATTTCGACGGTATTCAGCCTAAAGCCAAGTGCTTCAAATATTGGTGAAAATGGGTTCAGATATAGCAATAGCTCCCATATATATGTTTCGTCCGATTTGGTGTTAAAGCCTCTGACATGCGTAACATGCACTCCACAACATTTGTATTTGATGCCGGGCATCTTCATCCGATTTTATGGTTATTGCTCACCATATACACTGGTGGCCAAACTAAAGCAACTGAAATTACAAGGGGAATGAATGCCCTGTAACTTTTTTAAAAAATAAGAAAATTAGAAAGTTTTTCTACTTTTTAAAAACTTAAAACAAAAAATCAAAATTCATTTTTATATAAAAGATAAAGTATGGTAAAGGCAATTAACCCGATTTTGGCTTGGACAAAACTAAAGCTACTCTGTTTTACGTTCATATAATCGCTTCACGCCGTATTGATCAACAAGTTGTGAGAGAAATAAAAAACAATCATTGAAGAGTTCAACTGATGAGCTGATATAAGCTTGAAATCAGTACGTAGACGAGTAGTGGCAGCTGGTCTGCATGCCCGTAAGCCATTAAAAAATCTGAAAATATCGGAAAGCCAGGAAGGCTTTCGGAAGCGATAATATTAATTCAAGGTGCCTGCGACAGCATACCCAAGGATCAAATAGAGCGTGTTATAGATTCAATGCCTCGTAGGTGTGCAGCTGCTATCAAAAATAATGGTTATGCTATCGACTACTAGCCAAAATTAATTTATTTTAAAATAAAAAATAAAAAGTTGCTTTAGTTTTGACCAAGCAAAAATTGGGTCATTTTTGTTTTCCATATATTATTTTTCATCCAAAATTATTTTTGTATTTATATTTTTAGCTTATTAAAAGTGAATAACGTAACTCATTTAAAACTGAAAAAAATCCGATTTGTTTATTTTTGTAAAAGTTACAGGGCACTTATTGTCTTTGCTATGTTAGTTGCTTTAGTTTTGGCCACCAGTGTATGTAATATCAGTCCAAACTCAATAGTTCATTTTTATATTCAACCGAATTCTACCATTTGGTGAAACTCCGTCCGTATATCTATCTATTGCTCCAATATATTTTTTAATATAATAGTCATATTACCTATACCTATACAGGTATGATCTACTTCACATAAATTCCCAATATAAACTTTTTTTTGTGACGGGATCTCTATGTGGTGTGGGGTATCATATATTCGGCCCCGCCCGACTTTTGACCTTTCTTTACTTTATTATTGTCTTTGAAATAAAAAGCCTTCTTAAAAATCCATACTTATTGGTATGACTTCCCTCCTGAAAAATATGTCCCATCCTTCACCATTAAGACCCTAATATAATATTAAAATAAGAAAAATGTTTCTTCATAATCCTAGGATTATGGCCCTTTTATTCTATTTTTAATACATCTTAAAAATCAATTTTGCACTTATGATTTTTTTTCTTGCCATACTTAATTATTCAATTATAAATAAAGTCCTTGGCATTTTTTTCTCTCCCTTGAAAAAAAAATCACTCAATTACATGTCAATTACAGGATTTCCTTGGAGAGTAAATATTTATGGCAATTGATATGGGCACTCAACGCCGCCAATGGCCATAGAATGAGAGCGAAAGACAAACACTATAATAATCCTTTTGTTTGAAGGAAAAAAAAACTTATATGGCTAATGGTACTTATAATATTTTCAATTGAAAAAAATTGAATTATTTTCTAAAAAAACCTCACTCTTAATGTCCATCGTTCTCCACTAATAAACAAACGTTGTTTTTACAAAAACAACAATAAAGGGATAAGCCTGACCATTTTGCAACAACAAAATGTTGCGGAATTATGTTGAAATTAAATAGTTATTAACTTAGGCAAACAGCAGCTCACATATTGTCCCCAGTTTTTTTTTTTTTTTTTTTTTGAAGCATATTGAGCAGGCATGGTATTGAATATGGATGAATTTTTTTCTGAAGAACAAATACTTAAAAACCCCACACCACATGCTTTCTAATTTATTTGTTTGCGTAAGAAACATGTGTGTGTTTGTGTATACTTTCAATAATGAGATACCTCTCGCCATCGATACCCACCACCCCAGCAAAAAGCAAATGATTTCCAAAGCTTGAGTGTAAACTCACACTTGTTTTTTTT